TGTGAATTCCTTATCTAGGGGAACATTCCTTCAGGAACAAAAGAGAAATCAAGACATTCTCAGAAGAAGGAAAACTGAAAGTTTGCCATTGGCAAATATATTACATATATGTAATGCAAATATATTACACATATTACATATATATATATATATATATATATTTTTTTTTTTTTTTTTTTTTTTTTTTTAGATGGAGTCTCACTCTGTCACCCAGGCTGGAGTGCAGTGGCACGATCTCAGCTCACTGCAACCTCTGCCTCCCGAGCTCAAGTGATTCTCCTGCCTAAGTCTCCCAAGTAGCTGGCATTACAGGAGCTCACTATTGCACCTGCCTAATTTTTGTATTTTTAGTAGATACAGGGTTTCATCATATTGGCCATCCTGACCTCAGGTGATCCCCCGCCTCAGCCTCCCAAAGTGCTGGGATTACAGGCATGAGTCACCATGCCAGCCAGCAGATATATTTTTTTAAAGTAGCTAAAGAACTTCCTCAGGGAGGAAATGGTAAAAGAAGGAATCTTGGATCAGAGCAGCCCCAGCAAGGGAGTACTTAGGAATTAGTGGGTAAGGAAAGAATCAAAAAGGCTTATAATGTCCTCAAGAAGGAAGAAGAAAGGAAGGAAGGAAGAAGTAGCAATGGAAAGAGTAAAAATATGGGTACATACGATAGACTATCTCTCTCCTCATGAGTTTTATAAATCATATTTGGTGACTGAAAATTATAACGCCATGTGACATTCAAGACAATTGTATGGTAAAATGGGAAGGCAAAGGAACCTAAATGATAATAAGGTGTCCATACTTCACTTGAAGTGGAAAAATGTGCACACAATAGACTGTGATAAGGGACAGATATATGTTATAATAACCAAGAGCAACCACTACAAAAACCCTATGAGTAAATTAGGATGGGATCCCAAAACATGTTTAAGCCTCAGGAAGGCAAGGAAGAGAGAAACCAATGAATGAGAACCAGAGGAAACAGTAGCAAAAGAAACTGCTGAAGAATTTTCAAAATCTGGGAAAATTCTTACAGATTTTTGGAAAGTTCTACATCTTCTCAGCAGAGTCCCAGTCCAGACTCCATGACAATAATTTCTTACTGTCTGAAAGGTCCTCTCAAACCAGGTGTTCTAAAACTACCCAGAAGGAATGGATATGATTCCATAAGTGACCTGAGCTACTCTTGGCAGCCACCTTAAAACATAGTCAAAGAACTTGCTTTTCCCTCTGTGGAGGCTGCCTTTGGAGATTTGGGAAGACTGGTTCAGAGGGTTTCGCATTTTAGACAGGCTCCCCCAACACAGGAGGGGCCGTAGCTTAGCCTAGGAGTCCAGGTGAGAGCCACCAGCGTGGATCTTTGTGCTCTGGGGCAGGTGCCAGGATACACAGTGTGAGTTGGCTTCCCTGGCTGCTTAGACGCCTGCCTCCTGCCTCACACTCAGGACCTCTGGTGTTGCAGAAAGAATGCCAAACCTGGCATCAGGATGCCAAGCTCAAATCCAACTCAGCCCCTTACTAACTTTCTGCCTTCCAGTTCCACTGTCCATCAGAGATAATGCTGGTTCAGAGAGATGCTAGGAGGAATAAATGAGGTACCTCAGTACCTATTGCAGGGGACTTCTAATGAATGGTGGGTGCTTCTGATTTCCAGATCTAGGTTCAGAGAAATGGTTTTGACAGCTGTGGCCCCCTACGTTCCAGCAGGTAATTCATAGCAGCAAGTAGATCTCGGGGTGGACGCTGAAGCTGGTTGGCATTCAGAGCTCTGGGGTAGGAACAGGGAAAGCCAGTGCCATGCCCTATGACCAAGACAATGCTGGTGATGATTGGGGAATTCAAAATATACCAGAAGGCATTATCAATGAACTCCTCTCATGTCATTGCTACATGGATGAACATATTACCACAGCAACTGTTGCTGGACATGCACGAAGATATGATTGTCCCCTTGGAGATAGGTCCCAAGAACCCAGTGTGGCTATGATGAGGTGGTGATGTGGCTGAGTTAGTATGGATTCTGACACCAGCTCCAGCTGCCTATGGACAAAGCTCCAAAGCTGCACTTTCTCCTCAGTCAGATAAGTGTTTAACAGTCCCAGCCTCATAGTGCTGTGGATGAAATTCAATGAGAGGCATGTGGGAGGGGCTCAGTCCCATGCCTGGACAGGACTCAGCACTGGCAGACACTACCTATTGTGATTGCTGTTGTTGTTATTGTTATCACTGGGAAGTAGGATGGGTGAGTAGATCGGCAGAACAAAGATTACATACCACAATGTCTGCTTCAAGAAGGGAGCGTGTTATGAGAAACCAGGCTTTAGTTCTATTACAGAGGGCATTTGTCCAGTGGGAATGTGATAGGTTAAAAAGCCAAAGCAAGAGGGCTGGTCTGTGATCAGTGGCGTGCTAGCCAACGTTGAACTCGCTCTCACGGGGAAAAGAAATTTTTTATTTTTAGTGTTTGCCAATTTCCACAATGTAAATACTACTACCTTGTACCTTGTGTTAAGCTTCCAACATGCCATCACTGAATGCAGAGTTGGGGAAAAATGCACACAGAGAGTTCTCTGGATCCAGAATGAGCCTGCTTCAGCATACCACTGACTAGGGTGGAGCAGAGTGTTTCCAAGAAACAATAGGAAAATTCAGACTGGAGACTGTGCCAGGGATTATCACTTTTTCTGTTACCAGCTGGCAGATGGGGATGCCTCTCTGCTGAGGTGCAAAGATGCCTGTGCCTAAGTACACTATTGTCTTGTGTTTGTCTGTAAGTGGGGACAGACAGGAAGCCCTATGCTATAAAAGGGAAGGGGATCAAGACCCAGCCACCGGGAAGGAGGCTGGCAGAAGAGCCAGGCTCTGTGCAGAAAAAGTTAGGCAGCCACAAAGAATAAGACCCAGGCCAAGGGCTGGTTGACCTGGGAGCCAATAAGCAAGCAGTGATGCTGTGGGAAGACAGCAGGTGTCCCCAAGGCTTTTGGCACCTGCTTTGATTGTCAGCAAGTAGGCATAGGAGGGGAGAACTCATCAGTCTTTACTAGTCTCCAAAACTCAGAATTTTTTTCTCAGTTGTTCAGATGGTTGTGGTTCTTGGGAAGCTGTACTCCTTGTTTTAGTCACAACTGGCTCAGAACCTAGAGCAGGACTGGAGCTCAGAATATAAGCTGAAGGATCAGTCAACACAACTATAAGGAACAGAGCTGGAGATCATTCAGTTACTGGAAAATCAGGAATCGGGCCAATATCAGCTGGATGAATGAATAAAAACTGGTGAACATTCAGGATATGTTAGGGTAACAATTCCTGGCTTTCCAGTAACTGAGTGAGTTAAAGACACAACCCTGAACAAATGAGGTTCCTACCCTTCAGAACATCAGAGTTTAGTATGAGAGACAGAAAACTATCAGCCCCAACCCTACAGAGCTAGTGCTGGTGCTGGGAGGGTACCCGGCAGGCAGTGCAGAGGCCCTTGTGTATGTGAGCCGGGAAACCAAGGCTTTTCTCTGTGACTGGAGCCTGTAGCTGGGAAGGAGTGCAGGGGGTTTTCTCAGTGCTGGTAGTGGGTAGGATTATCTTGAGAACAAAGGATAGCCATTAGATGGTTTTGGCAGAGGCTGGCATGCTCAGATTCATATATATATATTTTTTTTTAGTTATACTTTAAGTTCTGGGGTACATGTGCAGAACGTGCAGGTTTGTTACATAGGTATACACATGCCATGGTGGTTTGCTGCATCTATCTACATTAGGTATTTCTCCTGTTAGCCCTCCCCAATCCCCCCACCCCTGCTATCCCTTCCCTAGCCCCCCAATCCCCAAGGGTGTTGAACAGTGAGAACACATGGACACAAGGAGATTCATGTTTTTAAGACAATGGCTCTGGCTGCTGCATGGAGGCAGGAAGTCAGGGAGGAGGCCACCTAGTGATCCATGGCAGGGTATGAGGACTTGGACTTGGTGGTAACGAGAAGAATGGTAAGACACAGACATATCTGAGAGAGCTTGGCATGTGGAGGCGTAGGGGAGGGAGGAGTCAGGAGTGACTGCAACTTGAGCACCTCCACAGATGCCAGTGTCATTCCCAGGGGGGCAGCCCCAGAAAGTAGTGGTTTGTAGGGCAGGTAACGCGTGAGTGTGAGGGCCTGGGAGCCCTCTGCTGTACACCACATCTAGGAGTCCAGTTTTATTGCTATGTGACTACTCATTTGTGCAAAGGAGATATTAGGTGACAGGAGGAAGGGTGGGATGGGGAAAGTTGGCATCTGACTGTCAAATTAATTCCAAACTGGGCTCTAAGTTATTAAGAAGCATTCAGTCTTTCCTTATTAAGCACTTAAGTTTAAGAAGCATTTTTGCTTGCATTATGTTGTTTTAAACTTTCAACTATCCATTAGATGTGTTAAGCCGTTATTTCAATTTTGTACCTGAAGAAATTGATGCTTATAGAGGTTGTTAGAACACCATCCTTTTTCACTTGAACCCCTTGAAGCCATCTGTAAGCTTGGTGGCTTTCCCTGCAGGTTCTTCCAGGAGTGAGACAGGAGAGTAGTCACATAGCAGAGGAGTGGGATTCCTGCACATGCTCTGCCTAAATGCTAGATGTGTTTATTGGCTTTCTCTGAGGCTCAAAAAAATCAACTCAAATAAGAGCCAAAAACAAACAAAGGCAAAAAGGAGACATGAGGCTTTATAGAATGTTTTTCTGAGGTTTTCAGGAAAATAATCATTATCATAAAGCTTTTATATGTTAGTTCCAACATCCGACATCTCTGTTGGATGTTGCTGGCTTATGATAGTATAATGGCCTTGGTAATGGATCATTCATGCAGAATTACATTTGCTTTTCTAAAACCATTTACTATACATTTCTATTTTCTTCTTCAAAATTGCATACACGGCCTTTAGGCCAAGGCAAATGTGGATATGCAAAAGCCTGTGAGTCTGTTTCAGTGGGAAAAGGCCAAGCAAAGTCACACCCTGCACAGCATATACCTCTATGAATAATATGAAAGTGCTTCTCTCAATCCTCTTATTTTTGACCTTGGGAAAGTCTCTCTTAACAAGTTATTATATCTAGTATGGTGTTACTGGATGCTGAAAAACACTCCATGAGTACTTGTTGCATTCAAAATATCATCAAGAATAATCAACATGTTCAGTTTTATTTCTGTTCAGACATTTTTCTTGCATGGTGAGCTTTGAGACCTTGTGCAAAATCCTTCATCTTTCTGGGCCTCACCTGTGAAGATGACGATGCTCATGGAGCCCTGTGGCACATTCCTCAGAGGTCCAGGTGCTGGCTGGTGAGGAGCTGGACAGGTGCTCTGTGCTGAGATTCACCAAAGTTGTGAAGGGTATGATTGTGTTCAGGCATTTTCATACCCTGGGAATTGGAAAACATCAGGACTCCTTAAGACAGCTGCGGAAAAGAGGAAAGGAAGGGCCAGTGGGGGACTTTGCCTTTGCATATGACAACTGACCCATCTGGTGTGGGGTGTGAGGCTGAAATCCTTGAAGGAACCTTCCCTCCTTTTTGGCCAGCTGGATTTTCACCCATTACCATTTCTGCTGAAGGATGGCTACTTAGCCTCCAAGGGCAAGTCAGCTGGAAGTATTATAGCATAGGGTTCAGTTTTAAGAAAGGAAACCCTAACTCAGATGACCAACTGCATTCATTTTTAACCAGTTGTCTGCCAAACCTCCTGGCTTATGCATTTCTCTGCCAAGGGCTGTTTCAGAATATCTTTCAGAAATAAAAAGCCAGTGAAAGCTGACCTTTTATGCTGAATGTGTTTCTGTGCCTTCCTTCTCTCAGTAGTAGTGTCCTACTTCTATTTGGTGTATGTTTTCTGCATGGCTATCGAGGACGTACAGTGTTGAGTTGTACTGTAGTATGGTGGGCTATGGAGCCTTAAGTAGACTGTCTCCTCCAACATGCAGGTGGAACAGAGATGAATCTTCAAGAAGCAGAGGATCCCTTTTCTTTCTTTCAGTCATGGTTTCTTGGGTGTGGACTTCCGGAGGTCCATATGTGTGCTTCCAGGTAAGCGAGCACATGTGGCACCTGCCATAGAAAGGCAGCAGCCCTCAGCAGGAAGCAGGCCTCTGCACATCAGAGAGCTGAGCCGGCCAAAGTCCCACTCTTCCTTTGTGGCTCTGGAGCCTCAATTACAGCCTTGGTCAGGCCCACTGACCTGTTTTCCTGGGGATATACCTGCTGGGCCACTCAGGGGGTCAACTGTTAACTGAGAGGTTAGGGTAGAAGAGGGTCTGGCTGTGAGGATGAGACCCACATTTTGGGCTTCCTGGCCAGATGCTTCACGTTTGCATAACCTTTCCTTATAGTATTAGCCAATTTTTTTTTAAATTACAGAATATGGTGTTTCTCTGCAATCGTAAATTGAATGGTCATATGGCAAATCACAAACAGCCCAGACCTATTGTCTAATCAAAATCACTAAGCACATACTTTCGCAGACACTTGCTGGGTATATTCTTAGCTGGCTTGTGTTTTATCTGAAATACTAGACAGGAATGATTTAATGAGTATTCGCATCATGGCAACAGGGCGTTTCGCTTGTCACTTCTAATTCTCACATCTAATAATGCATGTGATCTACCAATTAGACCGCAGGATTCTTGTCCAAGCTGCATCAGGGGCTGGGGGGGTTGAGGGGGAATTCAAAGAAGATAAATGCTCTGTCTCAATTATCTCTTCCTCTTCCCAGAACCTCCCAGAAGGAGCATTTCTGTACTAAAATTGCCCAAAGAAGTCCTCATTTTCCACTCCCTGGTAATGGTGCCAACTATTGAATTTGCATGGAAAGAGATGATATTGCAAAGAGACACATTAGAATGCATTTCACAAGCTATAAATTGCTTGTCAGAGGCTCTGTAAGCCTTGAAATGGACTCTGTCCTGAAGTATCTCTTCTGCAGTGTGTGTTTACCTTCTTTTCCCCACCTGCCAGTCTGTGCTTGTTCTGAAGACAGAGCCCCTCACACTGAAAGACTGTGAAGGGAGGTACATCTGGAGCTCCAAGTCAGCCCTTGAGCTTTTGAAACTGCCACTAACTCTTAATTCAGAGACCCTGCCTCAAGTTTTTGTTGCTTGTTCATGGTCAGCACCCTAAAGCCCCCAAGATGTCTCCCTAGCTGTTCTACATGCTCACTGTGCTCCCTCCCTTTTCCCTGATAACAACAGCAACTGCCAGGAAGGGCTGGGAAAGGCATTCACCCACACTGTAAGGAATAGCTATGCCTCCTTAAATCCCTCGCCCAGGTGAACGTGGTCTTCACCAGACAAGCCCTTAAGCTGATGGATGAGCATTCAGGAGAAGTCCAGGGCTTTCCTCTGAGATGGTTTGGGCAGTGCTTGGGGCTGTCTAGGGTCCTTCTTTTAACATGTGGCTCAGGTTGGTCATCCACAGCCCTGTGAAGGGAAGGCGAAGATTTTTAAAGTCACGGTACACTTCCTGGGTGCCAAGTATATCGTATACATTAGCTCAACAAATCCCCATAAAGCCGGGAAGGTAGGCGTTGGCCCCTATTTGCATGGTAAGAGATGAGCTGAGGGAAGTTTTTACCTGCTCCAAGTTACACAGCTAATACAAGCACTGAGCTTGGATTTGAAACAGTTAATTTGGCTCTGAAATCCAAAATCTTTTCTACCATCTCACTCCGATTACCTGGGAACTTGAGGTTACCACCACCAGCTTCCAGAAGCTAGTCTGTCTTGGGTGCTCCCTTCACAGGGGTTTAGTCTGCTGATGGGATTCATGTTCCAGGAGCTCCAGAATCCTTTGGTACATCACAGATTTGTACTCAGTAATGAGTCTCTCCCAGAATCTCCCAGGGAGCTGAAGCCTAGGGCTGGTACCTCTGGCCCTGTTGTGCTGGACCCCTCCCTGTTAACCTCAGAAGGGAAGGCACCAGGTTCAAGAGGCCAAAGGAGAGACCCAGAGCCAGCAAACAAGCATGGGGTTTTATTGGGGCTGTTTATTCCTCCCCATTTCTCAGGGCCCTTCAGGGAAGACTGCCAGGTCTGGCACTGTAAACAGATCATGGCATCCTTCTTCCTTAAGCAAAGAGGGTGAGTCCGCTTCTAGCTGCTGCCTTCACAGGTTTTGCTGCTCTGAGAACCCCCAGCTAATGTGTGACTGGCACATCCAGCTTAGGGTCAGACTTCCAGACACTCAGAACCCACAAGCCTCACCCTGAAAAGAGGGGCAGGATCCTAGGGGAGGGTCCTGATCCTCTGTCTTCACACTCTGAGAAGCCAGCCTTGTTTTATAGGCAGTCAGAGGGCGGGGACGGGGAGAGAACTTCCCAAAGCCCCTATTGATGCTTCTCCAGGGAACTCGGAGGTTCTGAGAAATGTGTGGGCGGGGCTGTGTGTACTTATCCAGCCTCTACACAGCCACCGCACACGCAGAAGCACCACATGCAGACGTGCACTCACACACGGCCAACACTCACCAACATTGCCATCTCTCTGCCTCCCTGAATTCTGCCCTTCCTCCCTCTCTCCAGTCTCCACCTTTCACTCTGTATGCTCTCACACCTGTCTTTCCTGCATACTGCACAGACCCTCTTCTCTCCTCCTTTCTCCCTCTGCTCTCTCCCACTTGTCCTCCCCTCCTTCTCTTTCTCCTTCCACCTCAGTGCCTTCCCTCTCCCTGTCCTTTTTTTCTCACACACACATGCCCATTTCTGTCACATACACATCCATGATATAGCCAGTCTCTCTCACTCACACACATTCACCCTTCACAGTCTGTACCGTAGCACTCCACCATCTCCCCCTCCCCAGGCTCCGGCACCTGCTCCCCCAACCCTGAGCCTTCCGACCATGTCTGACTGCTGTCTCTTCAAAGGTTGGCCTTCACAGGTTTTCTCAGGCCATGCTACCTCTAGATATACCCCAGATGGCAGTCAAATCCTAAACCAGTGTTCCATCCTCAAAGAGCAGTCTCGCGCTCTCACAGAGTGCCTCAAATGAGAGGGCTGTGGTCAAAAAAAGGGAGCGACCTGGGCACGGTCACACAGCCACTGCAATAGTGGTGGGGATGAGACTCAGCTCTCTGGACCTGTAGGGCAGTATTTTCTCATGTCTCTCTTCTCACTTGAAGTGCATCTCGCACATCCTGAATCCTCACTGTGTAGCAGCAGAGGTGCTGTGAGGATAAAGTCAAATTCAGCATGTGACAAAGGCAGCCTCATAAGTCAATGCAGCGACCTGTGTGTGCAGGTAATTTTGAGTTCATGAGTTTGACTCCCCACAACCACAGCAAAATGACCAAAGAAGTAGATTGTTTTTAATGGATCTGTTTCGGCTCTGGATACAGGAATGGCCGTCCCAGGCCAGAATTCCTGCATGATCTTATGCAGAGGACTCCATGGAGGGATACCTGGACCAGCCTCAGGGGAGCTGCTTTGAGAGCAGCCTAAGCAGTGGGGTCTAGCCTGGCAGATTTCCCAGGGAATCTCAGAGCAGCACAGATCACAGTGTGGCATTGGGCAAAGGCATCAGCATCTTTGAAATAATGAAATCTTTCCTTAGCAGGCAAAATAACAACTGTAAGGAAAATCTGGGCACTCTGAGATGTAGCTTGGCAAAGCTTGTGCTGCTTGGCAAAGCCCCTCGTTTACTGTTTGGGTGAAGCGAAACGCTCCGCCCATGGGTCCTCACTCCTCGCCTTCTGCATCAGCTTGCCTGGCTATCAGCAGCCCTGCCAACAACTCAGAAAAGGGCTCCTCTGTTGCCATGGAGGCTTTGAACACTAGACCTTGACTCACTGCCTTTTCAAATGAAACCAACCACGACTGAAAAAAAAGAAAAGCTTATGGGAATAGGAAATTAATTGCTTTTCTGTATAATAACTAAAATTATTGAGAGCTGACTCCTATACTGTTCGAAGCACTCAGCTACCCTCACAACAACTCCATGAGGCAGATATACTTTACCCATTTTACAAAGGCAGAAACTAAGGAAAGAGAGATCAAGTACCTTGCCCATGATCTCACAGCAAGGTAGTCAGAGTCAGGATTCACATCCAAGAATGCTGGCTCCAGGGTTGGCATTCTTATCCTCTGAACTACAGTGCCCTCAAAAAGAGTTCAAAAATCTGTGGGCTTTCCAAAGATTGGGTTCTAAGGTGCTCGGTTGAATCTTGGTCAGTTTTTAATTTTGTTAGGAAAAAAAAATGTCCCCTCTCAAAGCAATTTATTCAAGGCTTCTCTTGGGAGATATTTCTGGCTACATACAGATGGAGTAGATCTTTCTATTCAAAGCCCTAAAGTCCACCATGGTGGTTAATGTTAAAATAAAATTAAAACACCCCCCTCCTCCACCCACATGCACGAGATCTTTGGCCAGGCTCCCACTCTGGAGGTGGGGATTGGGAAAAAATGTGCACGATTTCCATTCCTGAGGAAGTGTCCCACAGGGTGGTACCAGAGCCCAGCGTCTCCTGAGTGTCTCTGTAGGCAGAAGTCTACAGAGGCATGGAAATGCTGCAGAACCCATTTGGTTGTCTCGTCCGTTCAAGCTATTTGGACACTGGAAGGGGTACTTGCGATCCCCCATTGACAAAATGGACAGCAAGGGTGGAAAATGAGCTCAGTGACTTAACAAGAATGAAGTGTTGCTACAGGAATTCAGCTGAAAGAGCGTTAGAGACATGTGGTGTTCCTCATCTGCTCCTCTGTGTCAAAGCAACCCCGGATACTCTGATCCACGTTTAGTACGGCACTCCCTTGTAAAACAGAGTCATTCGCACTTTCACCATCAAAATGAAAAGTCAAAATGGATTAGCGGGTTGGATGACCTATGTTGGGCCTCATCAGAGACCATTCCATGATTTCAACTTGTTCTTCAAGTCAAACAACAATAGCAGCCTTTTTGATACTTATATTTAAGTAGTAGTGCATTAACATTGTGTTTTATTTGCTGAATATAAATTCCTTTAGATTTTTTTAAGAAGTAAGGCCATTGATTTTTGCCTGAAAAGGAATGAGGCATTCACCTTTTCCAAGTTTACATGTATATCCTGCATATGTGGTGAGAACCCATTTGTAATGCGATGCATTCTATAAGTGTGAGCAGAATTTTGCAGGTGTGCATTTGTTTGGTAGTGCCTGTAGTTAGTTGGCAGTGAGCAAGAAAGGGCTGATTTTTTTCTTCCCTCTTTAACACTCTGTTTATCTGCAGATCCCTTTCTATCTAAGTTCTACATAAACAGTGTTGCTCCGTAAGCAAAGTGCCCTGGGTCTGCATGAATATTCTGACACATGCATGCATACTCAAAGAGGAAAGCTAGTGCTGCTAACCTCTTCACAATAAAGGCATATGCTTGTTCTTTCTGATCAAATGTTCTGTCCCTTCTCTTTCTCAATTTTTCTGATCAAATATTCTGTCCCCTTCTCTTCTGGATGTGTGTATGTCTCTCTGTCTCTCTCACTCTGGGTGTGTGTGTGTGTGTGTGTGTGTATGCATCTGTGTCTGTCTGTCTGTCTGTCTGTCTTAGATCAGAGGCAAAATGACCCATAGCAGTATCTAGGATTATTATCAACAATTTACAATCATTTGCAAAAATGCAAAACAAACATCTGTCTCCAGGCATATATTATAAAGAGGATGTGTGTGTGTGTGTGTGTGTGTGTGTGTGTGTGTGTGTGTGATTAGGAATTTCAAGTCAAGTTCTCATGTTTGTTTCATTCAGCACCAGAATGAAATTTTATCTGAAAAATCTATCTGGTTTTGGATAGAAAACAGATCGGCACAGCTGAGAACTGGCATTTGGAACTGCACTAGACAATCAACTAGCTTTTCCTGTACACTTTCTTTCTGGTGACCACCTGATTTTGCCCTGCCTATGTAGAAGGGAGGGAGACGCACATCAGAAGAGGATGGGTGTTGCAGGAAGCACATTTCAAGAAAGTGCCTATGTTTACAAAAAACTAATGTGTTTCTTCATGATTTAAGTGGTCTGAGAAAAACATTATGCATATTAATAATAGTACTTTGTAGATGAGAGGGCACTCATATTTGAGCACTATAATATGCACAGCATTATAATCTGATGGAGTACCAGCATGATGTCTTTAGGTCTTTTCAACAAATTTATGAAATCAGAGTGAAGGTGAGAATGATAGCCATTAGAACAAATAAAGATATTGAGGTTCATAGAAGCAAAATAATTTGCCTGTGGCCATAGGGCTAGGAAGTGGTCACATGCTCTCCATCACAGTATATGTTTACACATGCACTGGAGTCAACATGAATGGGGCCAAACATATATATACACACAGTCTCGAGCTTTTCTTATACCATGGGGAGTGCAGTAATTTGCCCTGCCTAGAAAAAGGTCCCCTGAAATTTCTCTTTTAATTGTTCCCTTCCCTCTATCCAGTCTCTTGCTGCTATTTGAA